TGATCTCTCCAAGTTCATGTTTGGGAAGTTTAATACAGCCGCCATAGCTACAGCTATACATGTCATAATGCCTTCTTGATCGAGTCATTACCAACGACGCCTCTCAGACTGACGACACTGGTGGTCTCTTCCTCTTTATCCCTCCCCTCTTCAGAGCAGCGACAGGAAACTTCCAAGAACAGCTAGCGGGCAGCGTGTGGGATGAGATGGTAGCTACCCTATACTGAAAAATACCAATGCTGACTACAAGCGGACGGACTATCTAGATCCCCCGGATATCGGCTCCACATCCCTGCTTAGCGCCGGTTTCCTCCGCGTCTCCAAAACACTTTGCCGGGACCGCACTGTTGCCCCCTGTACCGCGTGAATGCTCGACAGCTTGCCCCGCGACTTTCCGATTTGCAAGGATCTCCAAGACCCCAAGCGCTCCTCCAATGCCGAGGACCTCTTCCGACCGGGACAACAAGGCGGAGAGCGCCCACTGTCGCCCACTGCCCAGCCCATCATCCACAGCGACGACCCGGCCATCTGGGGTCGGAATCAAGACGCCGAGACTATAAGTATGGATTGAACGGCGCCGGAGTGCAATTGAAAACGTTTTGTCTATTTTCTGTTTGACCTGCTTCCTGCTTCTCCTTTCAACCCCGTGATACCCCCATTTTCCCTGTGTAGAGATACCCCAACTTCCAGAATCCAGACCGTGACAATCTGGTGACGTGCCAGTGCCGTTTAAAGCCGAGCTGCTTCTTTACTTTCCGTACGGTCTCTCCCTCGTCATCCCGGTGTCTCTCTCGACGCTCCTTCTCTCCACAACACTCAAGATGCCTTCAAGAGCAATGTCCATGAGGACGCTTAGGGCATACTCCAAGTATGGCTCAAATGTAAGTTTTCAATGCCTACCATGCCGGCATCCAAGCTAACACCATCACCAGCACGCTCTCCTCTTCGCCCGCGCTTTCAGCGCCACCTCCCGCCGCGCCGAGATCAACAAAGTCTACCCATCCGCCGCGAAGGCCCTCGAGGACATGAAGCCGAACTCGACCCTCCTCTGCGGCGGCTTCGGCCTCTGCGGCGTGCCGGACACCCTGATCGACGAGGTCCTCAAGAAGCCCGAAATCACAGGCCTGACCGCCGTCTCCAACAACGCCGGCACCGACGACTCGGGCCTCGGCCAGCTCCTCAAGACCAAGCAGATCAGCAAGATGATCGCCTCCTACATCGGCGAGAACAAGACCTTCGAGAAGATGTACCTCACGGGCGACGTCGAGCTCGAGCTCACGCCCCAGGGCACCCTGGCCGAGCGCTGCGCCGCAGGCGGCAAGGGCATCCCGGCCTTCTACACACCCGCTGCTTTCGGCACCGTCGTCCAGACCGGCGAGCTCCCGCTGCGCAACAACCCCGACGGCACGGCCGCGCAATTCTCCTACCCCAAGGACGTCAAGGTGTTCAACGGCAAGAGCTACCTCCTCGAGCACAGCATAGACGGCGACTACGCCTTCGTCAAGGCCTGGAAGGCGGACAAGCTGGGCAACTGCCAGTTCCGCCTGGCCGCCAACAACTTCAACGGCGCCATGGGCCGCAACGCGCGGATGACCATCGTCGAGGCCGAGCACATCGTCGAGCCCGGCGAGATCGCGCCCGAGAGCGTGCACCTACCCGGGATCTACGTCAAGCGCGTGATCCAGAGCACGACGGAGAAGAAGATCGAGAAGTACACCTGGGCCAAGGACCCCGAAGAGTCCAAGAAGGCGGCGCTGGGCACGGGCGACACGGCCGCCAAGCGGGAGCGCATCGTGCGCCGGGCCGCCAAGGAGTTCAAGAACGGCATGTACGCGAACCTGGGCATCGGCATGCCCATGCTCGCCCCCGGGTTTGTCGGCGAGGACGTCGAGGTGCAGCTGCAGAGCGAGAACGGCATCCTCGGCCTGGGCCCCTACCCGAAGAAGGGAGACGAGGACGCGGACCTCATCAACGCCGGCAAGGAGACTGTCACGCTCAAGCCCGGCGCGTCCGTGTTCGGCAGCGAGGAGAGCTTCGGCATGATCCGCAGTGGAAGGATTAACCTCACCATCCTCGGCGCCATGCAGGTCAGCGCGAGCGGCGACCTGGCCAACTGGATGCTGCCCGGCAAGGTGAAGGGGTTCGGCGGCGCCATGGACCTGGTGTCGAACCCGGGCATGACCAAGGTCGTGGTCACGATGGAGCACACGGACAAGAAGGGCAATGCCAAGATTGTCAAGCAGTGCGCTTTCCCTCTGACGGGCAAGGCGTGCGTGTCGAGGATTATTACTGAGTTGGTGAGTTCCCCGTTGTGAACGAGTCCTTGTTGATTGTGAAAGGTTGCTAACGGTGGTCTGCAGGGCGTGTTCGATGTTGACTTCGCACACGGGTTGACGCTGATTGAGATTGCGGATGGTGTTACCGTGGAGGAGATCAAGAGCAAGACGGAGGCGCCGTTCACTGTTGCCGAGGACTTGAAGCCCATGCTATAGGTTCATGTCGCGAAGGGAGTGGTTCCTGGGTGGTCGTGCATGATCGCTTCGCTTGTAAGAATCAAGTGAGGCGTGTTGATTATGTAGAATCTATTTAGCACTTGGTCAGGGTCAACAAAATGTATTTCTGGGCGGTGTTCAATACTATCGTGAATAAACATTATTGTCCTAATACTGTCGTGAATACACATTATTGTCCTTTTTTTTTTTTCTCTCGTGAAAGGCCTACCGCATGTTGGTAATGGGGTGATTGTTGGTGGCTCATCCATGCTTCTTTCCTGCATAAACCGCATTCTCAAGGGTTTCCGGAGATTTTTCATTATATCCAATGCACCTCCCCAGTTTTGTCTTCTTCAACAACGACTTTGCATATCAGCTCGACATACAGGAAAATGCCGCCGAGACTCAAATTTCTATATCCTGAAAATCTGGATTATTTCCACACCCTCCAAGAACATGACGATCATGATGGTTTCGGGTTGGGGGCCGGGTCCGACACAGCTGACTCGGAATCAGACGTGAAATCAGACGTGGAGCGCGACTCACAACCAGCTGCGCAACCGGACGAACAACACGCGGATTCCGGGGAAATCCCACGAATTACATATTATAAGAGCGCCATGGGAGAGCTCCGTGTGGTAGGTTACTTGAGTCAAGACTCGGTACCCCCGAATGGTCCCGCGGGACCAGTCGTAAACATGTCGATCCCAAGGACGTCGGTCCCAAGCATGTCGGTCCCAAGGATGTCGGTCCCAAGGATGTGGGTTCCAAGGCGGCACAAGAAGCGCAAGATGCGGTCTTTGGTCGACTTGAGCATCAAAACCTTGGCCAAGAACATTGAAGAGACGTCGGTCGAAGCTCTCGAACATTTGCCTATCGAGATTCTTTGGCGCGTATACAAGTATCATGCCGCGAAATGGTCAGTCACGTTCGCCCCCAACCCGCTCTCTGTTGGCTCATGTTGCTGATGCGGCCGGGTCCTAGCAAACCTAGCATCCGAGCATGGCGTCTGTTCTGCCCCGTCCTAGCTAGAGACCGGGAAAGGTTGCCGGTGACGCTCTACTCGTTTTGGTGGCAGGAGAAGAACCCGGCCGCTCATGATCTCACGCGCTACGTCGAACTCAGCACCTCCCCAACCGTGGACTACATCACGCACCTCACGCTCCACAAGGTGTGGATGTACAACTCGGCTGACCTCATGGCGCTGGCGGACATGCCCAACCTCGGCGTGCTGGAGCTGTCCGACCTCTTCGGAAAGGAACAGCACGACCCCGTCGAGGTCAGGCCGGACGAGGTGACCTCGGTCCTCAACGACAGGCTCGTGCGCGGCTGGAGCGAGAAGGAGGGGCCGTTCCCCGTCCTGCGCGTCCTCCTCATCACGTCGGTCCACTCGTCCATCACCACTCTGGCCCTGCAGTATGTCTCGCGCTTCCCGTCTCTGGTGTACTGCACCCTGCGGTCGACGTCGCTTATGGAGAAGGATGATGTACTCGAACGGGAAGTCAGGAAAGCGGGCTGGCGGGTGGAGAGGAAGCTCACTCCCTGGCGCGAGATTAAGGATCACGTCATCTGGCACAAGCGGCAGCACGACCGCTGGGACAGGACAACACGCATAAAAGACTTCGAAAGTTGCCCCCGCGCCGGCGTCTTCCTCTCTCCCTCCTCTTCCGCAGCAGGTAGTACCGGTACCGAGACCGGACACCAGAGTAGTTTATTCGACGACTTCCCCGCAGAAGATAACGCACCATTCCTCATCCCCCGGATATCCGTCCAACCACCACCGCAACCGCCCTGGAGGCTCTACAGCACCCTCGGCGAGAAGAGCGCGAACGCGGACCTCGTGCACCAGGGAGTGTCTCTGCCGCGGATAGCATGGACAGCAGCCACGTTAGACGGCGCGCCACCGCCCGAGCTAAGCCTAGGCGAATTCAAAGCGGAACGGCAGGAGATCGCTCTTCCGCCGAAACCGACGCTGAACGTCGAGTTGGGCACGCCTCGCGACGATTACGTCGACGCGCACAAGGACCCAGTGAAATACTTCCCGGGAGACTACGACCACGCGCTCGCGCGGAGGAAGACCGGCAATAAATTCATGGAGGAGATAACGTGCTCCCGCGATTACAGCACGACGATGACGACACCAACACCGGCTTCGTCTGGTTCGCGCAAGAGGAGAGGAGAACCAGGGAGGTACATCTGGCCGCGCAAGAAGCGGGATACTTCGAGCAACTTCAATTTCGAGACGGGCTGATGATCAAGGAGCAATATATCAACAGGGAGGCAGGGTTCAAACTTCGAACCTTCAACGACGGCATCTTGGTCTCCCACAACCCGGTCGAAGGGGCATTATGATATGGTTTCTGTGAAGGACTTAGTGATACAAGGAGAAGGGAACTCGATCTGCTGGCGACTCGGCTACTTACCCGCTGGCGACTAAGAGGGTCCAGCGAGCGGGGACCTTGGCTTCATGAGTGGAAATACCGGCGAGTCAAGACATGCAACCATCAAGGCGGTGTGGCGCAATGGTAGCGTGTGGTCCTCCTATTCTTTCCTCGTAAGAGTTTGAGTTCCAAAGACTAAGGTTACAGGTTCGAGTCCTGTCATCGTCGATGATATCTTTTGCCATTTGCGGCCAGCTTCGCTGGCGAGATGCTGGGGTTCAAGGAGACACAGTTTTGTGGGAGATTTGCAGGATGGACTGGGAGACAGTACTGGCGTTCTGGCGTTCTGGCGTTCTGGCGTTATCTTTGATAGACAAATCAACACACGTTTTTTCTTTCTTTTTGAACCACTTTCATGTCTACTTGCGAGGACCCTGAACATCGCATTGGAGACGACACCAGAGTGCAGCGAATTTCGTCCTGTCCGTGACCTGAACATCTCACACTCGCGGCCTAAACTTCACAACCGCGAGAGGTCCTGTCACAGGCCGGATTGGGAGATACTGAAGCTCGACACGAGCATGTCGCCCTTGCAATCGTGCATCTTGAACAGCCGCAAGTTCAGAGCCGGCATGACAGACACTCACTCAATCACTCACGCACAGAGCTGCCGCCACAGATATCCGCCCCAAAACATACTAAAAGCCAATGATCGAAGTGTAAGAATGTCTCGACGCAGCACGGATGCCAGTTCGTCCCCAATCCACGAAGCAAGAGCTGCCTGTTCGAAGCGAGGAGAGAGTAAGAAGACGCCGACAAAACGCAATATGATAGTTGATCTGTCCTTCGCTTTCCCCTCCAGAATGTCATTGCAGTGGACAGAAACCGGAGTGAATACGAAGGAGTGTTTGTTTTATGTTGTTTTGTTTTATGATGAGGAAAGGAAAAAGGGAAAAGTTCTGAAAACGCGAGCTTCAAATTTCTGATATGGCGGTTTAATTCCCCGCTAGGCCGGATTGGGGATAGGCTGGCTGGAAGAGCCTGGACCAATCAGGTGAGGGAAGACTTGAGTGACTCAACCCCTCCAAATGGCGGGGCGAAAATATACACGACTCGACTCGAACTGACGGCCAGCCAGACAACCAGATTGTTGGCGGCTGCCGGTTTTGGACCCCGCAGCTTTCGCCTCGATATCGTCCCTTTGCGCAGTTGAAGGGTTTCACCTATTTCGAGACAAGGTTTCTTCTTGACATTCACCCTTTTAACCCTACAGTGAATCTTGGGTCAATTCTGTTTCTATAAAACATCCACCTCGACCCTTGTTTCCCAACTCGGATCAACCACCAACTACCTTTATCACTCCCCAAACCTCAACACCAAGCCCTCTACATCCAGACAACATGGCAGGCGGCAGTGGTGCACCAGGTGGTAACTCCCGCGGACGCGGCGGGAAGTTCAAGAAGTACACTCGCGGAGGTATGTCGCTCTCCCCTCCCTCTCAATCCTCGCCCTAGATCGCATGCGCTAACCAATTTCCTCCCACTTCCAGGTGGCAAGCACTTCTCCCGCGACCTCCGACCCCTCGACGCCGACGGCAACGAGATCAGCATGTGGGCGCCCGGCGCCCAGAAGAAGAAGGACGACGAGTCCTCGGAGGAAGAGTCCTCGGAAGAGGAGTCCTCGGAGGAGGAATCCGACGACGCCGGCAACAACGCCTCATCCGCCGCCGCCGCCCTATCCCGCGAGGAGCGCAAGAAGGAAAAAGCAGCCAAGAAGGCCGCCGCCGTGGCGCGCGCCAAGGCCGCCTCCATCCAGGTGGGCGACCTCCCTCCCTCCGAGTCCGAGGAAGAAGACAGCGACGACGACGACGACGCGCCCATGCCCGCCAACCCGAACCACTCCAAGGCCGCGCGCAGCCAGACCAAGGTCGTGGCGCAGACGAGCAAGGCTGTGGACGACGTGACGGACAGGGTGAAGAAGGTGGCCGTTAGCGGAGGCAGCATGAACAGGAAGGAGAGGGAGGCGGCCGAGAAGGCGGAGGCAGCCGAGCGGTACCGCAAGCTGCACGAGGCGGGCAAGACGGACGAGGCCAAGGCGGATCTGGCGCGGCTGAGGCTGATTCGGGAGAAGAGGGAGCAGGAGGCTGCTAGGAAACAGGTGAGATAATCTCCAGTGCGATGATGGTCTGGGAGGACTAGTGCTAACGTTGTGTGACAGGCTGAGAAGGAGGAGCGCGACGCTGATGCGGCGGCGAAGAAGGCCGAGATCGATGCTAAGGAAGCCAAGAAGAGGGAGGCTGCCATGGGCCCTGCGGCGAAGGGCAAGGGCAAGTCGAAGAAGTGAGGACTGTCTGGTGGTTGATAGCGTGGGGATTCCAGGGCCGAATAGACAGCTCTTCATTTCCGGAGTTATTTTCTGCAAACTGCCTTTCATCGTCTATTGCTCCGACTGTCTATGTCGCTCATCGATCTGTGACTTTGATATCGTACACTATCTAACACCACCACCACACGCCGTAACACAATAAAGCCCCTCCATCTAACTCATCCCAGCCAAGCCCTCAGCAGTATCACTTCCCACCGCCTCCTTCCAGAACTTATCGAAATCAATCCCCTCCGCAGCAAACATCTCCCTAATCCTCCCCGCGACCTCGACCTGCTTCTCCTCCCCAAACCCGCCCGGCTGGCTAACCTCAAACTGCACAATCTCGATCCACCGGTAGAACATGTCCTCCTTCCCCACCGCCGCCAGCGCGTCCCGGAACGCCAGCACCTGCCTCCTCCTCTCATCCTCCTCCGCGCCCGGACCTCCCGCACCCGGCTCGCCCAGCTGCTTCCTATCAATGCACACCCACCCGAACTCCCTACTGTACAGTATAACTGCCCGCTCGAACGCCTGCTGCGCGACCGCCTTATCATCCACCAGCCGCGTGGCGTCGACCATAGCCGCCCAGTCGAGGTCCCAGTCGGCGTTCATGAGGAGGTATCCCGTCTTCTCCTTCAGCAGCAACGGGTCCGTCGCCTTTGTGCTCTTCAGTATGATCAACCTCCTCTTCTCCACCCCCTCGGGAGTGCTCATCACATCCTCCAGCAAACCCGAATCCCACTCTCCCCTGCTCCGTCTGACATAAACCTCCTTATCCCTGAACCCCGTCTTCCACCTCCACCACGCGGGGTTCCCGTGCGCCACGCCGAACGCGAACTCCACGGGCCACGGCCAGACGAAGATGGTCAGCAGGAAATCGATCAGGAACGTAAGGGCCCGGCGCAACACGACCCACGCCAGGGCGGAGGTGGAGGGGGAACCTAGAACGGCCTCGTCGTCGCGCGTGTAACCGAGGGTGGAGAGGAAGAGCGACCCGTACCAGGGGAGGATGTAGTTCACGCGCCAGGCGAAGAGGGCCACGACGGCGAGGTTCATGGCCACGGGGACGAGGAATATCTTGAGCTTGAAGAGCCGGGGGGACGTGTCGATGTGGGTTAGGTAGACGTGTTTCTTGGAGAGGGAGGGGGTGAAGGGGAGGAGGGACTCCGGGAGGGGGGAGAAGGGGGGTGGTGGCGTGGAGGGGAGGGTGGGTTTGGGGGTGGATTTGGGCTTGCGGGGGGCCATGGTTGTGGTTGGGGGGTTGTTGAGCCGGTGGTAAAGGTGAGATGAGAAATCTAGATGGTGGTGATGAGATGGCAATGCTGGGTCCGGGGATCCGGTGGGCAAGGGGAGCCCTTGCCGTGACTGTCTGGTCGTGTCTGATTGTTGAATAAAGTGGATTGAAAGTTTGGTAGAGATCTTGTGAGGCTTCGATTATGCGATTGAGATGAGACAACCGGCGATGGTTCACATCTGCAGCTTTGAATGTTGTTGAAGTTGAGATTGGTCTGCATGCGATCTGGCGTCCGAGTGACAAAACGTGGCAGAGGCCTTACCTGATTGGGTCTAGCGCCGAGCCCACATCAACTTTATTTGGACTCCCCCTTGTTTCCTCCACCATCAATCATCGGACATTCGAGGCTCGCATATCGCATCAACAACAAGCCCAGGGTCAGCATCTGCGCCTAACTTGGAGATCTTTTGGTCTCGTGCATGGAAATCATCCGCTATGACGCGATGCTGGATAATGAGTGCAAAGAAAAGCTTCACCGCAATGTTGGAGACGATGTTGGAACGACAGCTCTTCCAGCTTTGACGGGCTCAAAGGCTTTGCATATGCGTTCTCCGGTTGGAAAGTTATCAGGTGCCCGACATATGACTCGACCAACACCAGCATGATTTGTGGTGAGTGTACAGTCGGCGCGATCTCGAAACATCATTTACCTCTCCTTTCTGTTGGTACGATCCTCTTTGTCACATGGTTGTGGACCGGCGATTCAGCGACAGCATGAACCCTGGGCCTATGGCACCAGGCGTGTTATCACCCGCCGGTTGGCTCGAGTCGAGTAGTCTCGCTGAGTATATATCCCTGTCGCTCCCTGGAACCTGACCCAGAATTCCAGTCGAGGTTCGCTCTCTCGCAAGTACACGTCCTTCAGATATTGAGCAAATTTAGCTCGTTCAGCACAACTGACTGTCAAGCACAACCACTAGCCAGACAGCATTGAAACGCCTCCAGCAACTTATGTCATACACGAAGATCGCGACCCATACCTCGCAAGAGTATAAGGACAAGGTGCTAGTCAACAAAGTGATGCTGAAATGGCTGCTCTACTGGGAGCAGCGGAGAGCCAAGGATGCCCGTGACGAGAACTGATCCAGGGAAAAGTCGAATGTGCATGACGCCTATATCGAGCTGCTTTGGGAGCTTGAAATACAGTGCCAGGATATCGATGAGAAAGTAAGACGCCTTGACGACAAATTCACTGCAAAAGTGGCGCGAGACTCCATTAAGTACCTACAACAGAATGGACTTCCTAATTCCGAAGTCGGGAAACTCCGATTGTGGTGGGCGAAGTATCTCAGGAGCGAGGAAGAGATTGAGAAGCTTAAGACTCGCGTTGGGCCGGAATGGCGAGCGGCGCACGAGGCGGTCTGGACCAGGGGGCAGGTGCAACAGCCGGGCCCGGGAGAGAAGCTTGTGTGGGAACAGGTGCAGATACAGATGAAGGGGCTAACCAGAACAATTGGCTCCCCTCCTTTTTGAGTGGACTGTTAAAGAATACAAATTCTGAGGTGTATCCCTGAGAATAGGCTTCATTCACTGTCAATCAAGTATGATGCGAATGGATACATCTAAATTT